TACGTAGGCCCAGAACAGCGTATGTTCTGTCGAGTCCTGTCCTTTTCTGTTCTTTTCAGACTGACCACTAGCGTAGATAGATAAACACACCCTTCTCCTTATAAACACCAAGCGTGGATCCCGTCGAGTACGACGGACGTGAGGGGTGCTAATACTTTCCCCTTGCGTAACCGACTCCCGAACCCAGGTTTTGGTTGCGATGACCATACCTTTCCCGTTTTTTGCGAGGTTTACTTCGAGCGTTTCCTTTCCCTCCGTTGGGATAAATAACGCACGGTGGCGACTCTTCTGTCATGCCGGCGCCGATTTTCGCAGTAGCGACAGCATGACCCAATCCACTTCTGTTCATAGAACGACCCAATTATCTAAGTCCAGCCAATTTAGGGCAACATTTACCTTTCTGCCCCTCTACCAGGGAAGGCTGGTTGGTTAACCCCCAGAGTTAATCGCCCCTCCTCAACATTTCCTGTCTGTCATGCACTGTTCCTCCATCTAGAAACAGTCACGACGCATGTGCCCGCAACTGCGTCAATGGACGGATCTACTTAGTGTAGAATGGGGTCAAGTGACCCCACTTAATTTTTTGTTTTAAAACTAATATTAATTAATTTTGGAATATTGACCCCACATTAAATGCATCATTGTCCCCATACTACTTATTTTTTGTATTTATATAGGTTTTTCTAATCTAATTATAAATCAATTTACAGACATACTCTATTTTTTGTCTTCTTTCTTCTACACACTTTGTTTTTTCTTCATTTATATATATATATATATATATATATATATATATATATATATATATATATATATATATATATATATATATATATATATATATATATATATATATATATATATATATATATATATATATATATATATATATATATATTTGTGCTTTGTTTTGTAATATTTAACTTTTAAGATATATATTATCATTATCATTTTATGCATAAGTATTTATATTTTTTTATAAATATTTATATTTTTTTATAAATATTTATATTATTTAATTTTTATTTTTGTATTAAAAAAATTAACCTTGACCCCATTAATTAAAATTTTTGGATCCATCACTGACTGCGTCTCTGCTCGTGGCAACGACTAGTTTTGGACACCCCTGCCCGTTCCAACGACTAGTTTCTGGCAGTTACCTATTCTTTGGGGAACGATTATCTCACCCAGAAAATAGGGACCAATGGCCAAGCGTTAGAGACATTATAAAAGCCCTCTCATTTGAGAGGGTCAGGTATTCTAAATCATCCTAAGACACACATACTTTGTACTTGTCTTCTTTTCTCCCGATCCTTACTTTAGTATCGGAGTACCTTGTAGGTATAACCCCCTCCTCATCTTTCACATCCAGCATCGCAGATGCAGTCTTTGGCCTACTTCAGGTTCTGATCAGCCGGTAAGATCACATATTAACATAAGTTTTGTGATACTATTTGTTTGAGAGAGCTTATGAAAACAACTTATGATATTGATCATAAGGATTTTTTAAACTTATTTTCATAAGTTATTCAAGATAACTAAACTTTACTTTTTAGTTTAATTCAAAATAAAAATACAATATAATAATAATAATAATAATAATAATAATAATAATAATAATAATAATAATAATAATAATAATAATAATAATAATAATAATAATAAATTTATTCATATTTATTTAAATAGGTCAGCATGATATAGATTCAAAAGATATTTTTATGGCCTCTGACATAGTCTTTTTAGCTACATAGACTTATAAAAAAGTATAGATTTTTTTTATTTGAAAAGAAAAAGTCTGACCTGACCTGAGTCTATGTAAGTTAGACCGTAGACTCCTATTAGTTGGTCTGACCTATTCTCATCCTATTTAAGAGGCTAAGGCACAATTACGATGATGGGTTCAAATATTGGCCTCTATAGTGTAAAAAATGATTATTACAAAATAAAAGTGTAAAAAATTACATAAATCTAAGTCCCTCCAATACCAACTCTTATTATCTAAATATGCAAATATATATTCTAATTAAATAGAGTTATATTACAGACGTTTGAGGTTACAATGAATGAGGCCATTTTTAATCAAAATATATAATACCGTCAATCAAAGTCTTGGTAGAACTTGTGCTTGATTATAAAAAAAATGTGTTCGTAGAACTAATACAGCGCCGGTCTTAGATGGAGGCCACCAAAACTACTGTTTAAGTTTTCATTTTTTTTTATGTTCATATAATTTTAATTAATTGATTTATAAAAAATATTTTTTAGAGATTTTGGGTAGATTTATCAAAGTTTTACTATAAAAAATAAATAAGGGCTCTATTTTATTATTGTATAATTATAATTAATATTTTTTAGACTCTTTTAGCCAGAATTTAACCATAAAAATTATTGAGTCCGGTGTGATAGACGGATTTGCAAACCCTTAAAAATTGTGTTAAAAGTCATATTTATATATAATAAACTTTTAATTTCTCTTACATAAAAAATATTTGAAATTTATGTTTTTTAAAGAACTTTAGTGATATTTTTTCAATTATGATTTTTTCAAATGATAGGAAGAGTGTTTAGATGTAAAGATTTTACTATCAATTGAAAAGAAAATATTAAATAAAATTGATTCAAATAATTTAATAATTTAATTTTATAGAAAGTCTTAAATTGAAATATATTAATCTGAACTAAAAATAATTTTATTATATTAAAATATTTAATTTAAAATTTCGCCCAGTCCTCAAAATATATTATTAGGTCGGCCCTGAATTAATAGACAAACTAACTCAAGGGACAAGAAAAACTGATAACTAACCCATAATGGTAAATGAAAAAAAAAAAACCAATTGGAGTCATCTTAAGTTGAAAAATAACATAGAAATCGATCATAACAAAAAAGAGGAAAACAATTATGAGGCTAATGTAAGGATATATGAGCGAATTCATAAACGAAGAGAAATGAATAAAATATGTGGATTATGCAAAACTAAAAAGAGACTTAACTAAAGCCCAGTTTTAACACTGAAATAGAAACAAGTAAAAAGAAAAGGAAAAGGAAAAATTTAACAATCACATGAAAAATCTGAACATTTACATTAGAAAAATAGACAAACAAGTTCAACAAACTAACAATTATTGCTAGAAAAATAGGAAGAATCGGATCTGTAAAACTAATGTGTCACCCATACAGCAAATTCATAAACAATATTCTGAAACTGAGACATATTTTTTTCTCTTCAGACACATGTATATATATGTTCTAAAGCATGGTTTCTTTTAAATCGGTGAAGTATCGGTATCGGTGAAGTATCGGTATCGGGTATGCACCCGTATCCGACACACGCATAGCGTATCCGTGATATTTATTTTTTCTCATTATTTATTTTTGAGTAAAATTTATAGTTTTTTCAAATAGCAATATAATATATTTATAAATTTTAATTTTTTAATTATATTTTAACATTATTTTTTTATCTTTTAAAATTTTTATAGTGATATTTTATTATGAATCTATTAAATTTAATTCTCTTTCTATTCATCTATTTTATAAAAAAATCATATTTTTTATATTAACATGCCCCTACCTTCGATATTTCTAAAAACACGTATCCTGGACAACTATCATAGCTATTATGGAATCCTTATAACCATACAACAACTAATGAAACCTAATTTTTGACATGCTGACAATTGTATTAAGTCATAATTTCACAATTCATTTACTTATTTTTCAAATTGCATATAGGGACATAATGACTCAAGACATATCAAAATGGTGAAATATTTAATATGAGAAGATTATGTAACATTCATTTACACAAACTTATGAAATATATATCCTGCCGAGTAATCTCATAGCTAAGAGATTCTAATATTAGCTATAATTATTTTACTAATGATATATCTACTAATGATAGTAGAGACAATAACCATACTGATTCATTCTTTTTGTCTACAGCAGCAGTAAGAACAAATCATATATAAGTGTATTTAATATTTGATATGCTGATTAGAACGAACACAACTAATGTCACCTAATTTTTGACATGCAAAGTATTGTATTAAGCCTTTTGAGTCTGTCGTAATTACACAATTCATTTACTTACTTTATAAATCGCATTTAGAAGAAATAATGGCTCTAGACATATCAAAATGAAAATCTTTGGCAAAATCTAAAGCAATAGAATTAATGCATTGTAAATAATTTTACAAAATAGGTGAAATATTTTAATATGAGAAGATTCAGTGACATTCATTCACACAAATTTATGAAATATACATATCCTGCAGAGTAATTTCATAGCTAGGAGATTCTAATATCAGCTATAATTAATGTACTAATGATAGTAGAGACAACAACCATACTGATTCAGCTATAATTAATGTACTAATGATAGTAGAGACAACAACCATACTGATTCATTCTATTGTCATCATCAGCCGCACCAGTAAGAGTTTTGGTCTTCATGCTTGCAAGGTTGAACAATATTGCAGAGTTATGCTGATGAGAATGAACAATCCTCACTACAACTAAGAGTTTTGTATTAAACCTTTTGAGCCTGTCATAAATATAGGGGACATAATGGCTCTAGACATATCAAATGATGATCTTTGACAAAATCTAAGCAATAGAACTTATGCATAGTAAATATTTGTGATATGAGAAGAATCAGTAACATTCATTCACACAAACTTATGAAATATATATCCTGCAGAGTAATTTCATAGCTAGAAGATTCTAATATCAACTATAATTAATGTATTAATGATATATCTTATATCTACTAATGATAGTAGAGACAACAATCATACTTATCATTCTTATTGTCAGCAACAGTAGTAAGAACAAATCATACATATAAGTGTATTGAATGGAATCTCCTTAAGAGATGTTGTATTTCTGTGTGGCTATTTACCGCAAAGGCGATAACATAGCTCTTCAGCCTGCTCGTCAGGGTTACAGTTTGACAGAGGAAAAATGCCATTTCTTCCATTGTTCATGCATGTCACTTAAGTTGGTTTCCGATCTGGTAATCCTGCAGCATTACATCACAAAAATGTTTGCATCAATAACAAGTCAAGTTTAATTGTTGAACTTTTCAAACATTAACATATCCACAAAATCGAGACTGGTTCTTTTAATATGTGTCAACAGAACTATAGATTAGTTATATCAGCTGTAATCACTTCTGTGTCGGAGCTTCATAGAAGCTGCATAGATCAAATGAATACATAAGAAAGTAGCAGCATCACTCACCTCACAAGAAATGTAGCCTAGTTTACAGCTGGGAGGAGCACAAGTTATACAATGGCACCAAGAGCAGTAATCATTCAAGTCCACCCATTTAAAGAACAAGACTAGGCCGCCCACCAATCTGTAAACAAACCAACTTTCACTTTTGGAGACACAGTGCATAACAATGTAATTCACCCAAGAAAAACAACAAAATAAAAGGCGAGAGACGCTACCCAACACTTAGTAGCACAAAAGAGATAACCCGAAGGGCATATTGATAAGATTCTTGCTTCGGAGAAGAATTAGACTTGGTTAGATTAACCCCATTATACTGAGAACGAATCAAAATGGCAAATCCAAGAAGAAATCCTGATGTAAACCCTCCAATGGTACTAAAATTATTTTCAAATGGAAAAGTTCCAAGAGCTAAGTCGGTACTAATGAGCAAAATAAGAATCAACAGCTTAACAAACTGCAAAACAAAAACAAAAACAAAAATATAACTAAGAAATATCTGTTCTGTGGCATAAATATCGTTGAGCTTATTTATTTACCTTATGAGTATGTATTCTCCATTTTGTTAAAAGCTCTGATAGTATCAATCCTTGTAAGCCTGATATTGCGCCAGATGAACCAACATAGATGATTGAATCGAGGAATAAAACACACAGCAAATTTCCTCCCAAACCAGATATAACATACACCAATCCAATTCGAACTAAAAAAAAACAAGTAAAACTGTTATCATATTCAAAAATTGGCACATAGAAGAAACCAAAGGCCAATAACCAGAACCTTACCAGATCCAAATTCCTTCTCAAGAGGAATTCCAATGATTACAAGAAACAACGTGTTAGAAAGCAAATCGAGAACCCCATGATGCAACCACATAGATGTGAATAGGCGCCAAGCCTGGTGAATATGGACCAGTTTGTCGACATGTAGAGCACCCATCTTTATTAACCTGAAAAATAAACAGACGTGTGAACAACATATACATTTCTAACACATATTTGGATTGAATACAGTTGAGTTAAAATACATTACTGAAATGTATAAGCTTCAAAGTTTTATCGAACTATCTGCAATTCTGTATATGCCATGAACAGATTCATATATAGAATTGCTAGTGTTGGAAGCTATGAGTGCTAATCTAAATCAAATACTATACAGTATATAGATTTTAATTGTAATTTAATTTCTCCAATATTGCATTTTGTAAGAGTGGTCTCTATTTTAAATATTATTCATATACACACATATAATAAGATAATGCTATTGCTATCATAACTTGATTAATGAGCAATTTTTGAAATGAAAGGTAATAGATTGCTTTCAAAATAAGTGATCAACCAACGAAAATGAGAAATGAAAAAAAAAACACTCACGGATAATAGGAAGGACCAAGGAGATAGTTCTGTTCGAGTGGCTGGAACGAGAATCGACCAAGAAATGTAGCAAAACATGAAGTGGGAGGAATGGAAAGCTCTGGACAATTGTTGACATACATTGTCACCAAAAACAAGATCACATTTACCACCAGAATCATCGGAATCAACACCGGGAACCACCGCTTCAACGGAGGAGGAGGAGGAGTGGAAACAACCAATATTTTGATTTGAACTTTGTTTGAATCCATCACCTCTACTGGTTCTTGTTTGAGATTATGGACTTGTTTGTAGTTCTTGAGTATGATTAATGAATAAAAATGAAGTAACTTGGTTTAGATGATGTAAATAATGCAAACCCGGATTTGACATATTTGGAAAAGAATAATATATATAACCCTAACCATATTCCCTCCTCGTTATGAGTCCAAGATTAAATCTCACACTTTTACTCACACCAATTAGATTTTAAATATTCAGTCATCAGTTAAAAATTGATCACTTAATTAACTAAAGGACTTATTTATGCACCTCCATCAGAATCACGATTAATCCGTTTTTCATAAATTAAATCATTATAACCCATAAAATATTAGATAAATCTAACATAGAATGCATTAATGAATATTAAAAGTATAACCTTGTTTAGGTTATTCTTTTCATATCAAATGTAAAGGAAAAAGTCATATCTAACATAGAAATTTTTGAAGGATGAACTTATTCTCTAGTGTAGCTTGCTAAATCAGACATTATGGAGGAAAGTTCGTGTGTTAAGTATTAAGGTGTGTTTCCAAAGTATATAGCTTGAAAGCCGCTTAATGAAAAGACCTTTGTTGATATATGAGTTACTTGGTTGAGTATGATTTTTAATTTTAATTTCGTTATTATTTAAATACGGACAATAAATCAATTGTGTGAGCGGGATAATTTAAAAAAAATAAAATTCGATCTAGGGTAGATTTGAGATGTTCACTATTTGAAATTTGGAATGATAGATTATTTTAATTTGTGGTTGAAGTCTAGAGATAATACTTATAAACACTCTAATGTCTAAATCAGTAATTAGTCTAAGTTAGAAGTATTTTAGGATTAAAAAGTGTATATCTCAACTCTAAGACATAAATTAAGCTTTTTAGTCCAAATCTAGGGATTTAAGTCCCTTTAACCTTTTGTTTTGGAACACCTGGCCTCGGGAGGTCATGTTTGCTAGTCTCCACTCTTAATCCAACGACCCTTGGCCTTCTTAGGTTGTTTTGGAACTTCTTCATCATGGGTCAATACTCTTATTTAGGTATTAAATAAACTCATTGCCCATGCGAGAAAAGTAGCCCCTAAAGCTTGGTCTGACATAGCGAAGCATGACTTGCAATCTAGACTGTGCCCTTTGCGACCGTCAATCTTCATGCTCTTAGTTTTTTGTGAAGTTACCCTTACTAAGGGTGGAAATAGGCTGGGTCGAGTTAGGATTTGCCAACCCTAAGTCTGCCTTGCCCAAAAATCTGAAGCCTGGATCTGGCCTATAGCCTGTCATATGTTTATTTTTAGGTCTGAGACTGACTTTTTCGAAGGCCTGGTTAGCCTGTTAGCTAGTCTACATAAAAGGCTATTTATTTTAGACATATGTAAATAAGCAATTCAAATAATGTTTAAATAGACTAACAAACTAAAAGACCGATGAGACTAAAAGTTTGTTTGCATTGACATAATTTAACTTACCTATTAGATCAAGTTTTGTGAGACAATTTATTTAAGAGAACTTATGAAAACAACTTATGACATTGTTCATAAGGTGTTTTTATCTTATTTTCATAAGTTCTCTAAGATAACCACGTTTTATTTATATATTTTAATTCAAAGTACAAAACTTAACATAATGATCATAAAAATTTACTCATATTTATTTAAATAGACCGACCTGATAGGTTTAAAAGGCTTTTTTATAGTCTGATGCCTAGCCTCTTTAACTAAATAGACTTATAAAAAAACCTAAGCATTCTCTATTTTAAAAAAAGTCTAATCTAGCATAAGCCTATGTAGGCTAGGCCGAAGGCCTCTGTTAGTCAGTCTAACCTATTTCCACCCTCAACCCTTGCTCTAGGGTGATTATTGATGCAATGGTGTTTATAGCTCTCTTTATTTCCATTCAAATTAAAAGGGCGAAGAGGTGGGGCTACCTTTATGTTGCACCCCAAAATTTGCCCAACCTTTTTCTTTAACTGGCTTTTGTTTCATTGCATTCATATAGCATTAACATTAGCATTTGCATACCATTGTTCATTTGCAGGGGATTAGGAGAGGTGTGCTTGGCAAAAGGAGATTATCAAAGCTTCCAAGCCTAAGCAAGAGTATGTATTCAAGCTACCAAGTGCTTATTATCACCAGAAAAATGTTAAAGCTCACTGAAAGAGTGGATGGTTAAGATTGTCGCATCTCCTATCTTGGGGGTCAATTAAAGGGCATCAGAGGATTGTGAGTCCATGGTCATGGATGGAGAGCATTATGGAAGCTCATTAAATGTCTTGAGGGTCATTGAGGAGCTTGTGAAAGTCATTGTATCAAGTGCAAAAGGCCACAGCCAAAGGTGGTACAATTAGAGTTTTCATCTGGTCACCCCTAAGTCAACTGTGCAATTAAGGGAGATTAAGACTCAATTCCAAGTCTCTATGATCAAAGGAATGTTGTGTTGAGGCATGTCATATATCATTTCAAGATCAGTTCATCAGTATTGAAGAGTGTGAGAAGTTGCTAAGCTAGGGTTTCTAAGCTTGTCAGTGTAAAATCCCCTATTTAGTGCCTAACTTCAAGACCACATAACTCAAGATACACGTTTCATCTCATCTTGACTCCAGCATGAGACTTGTAGGACATGTTCTTAGCTTTCTTTTGAGTACTAGAAGTCATTCATATGATGTCTAGAACTCAAGAAATGAAGCTGGCAAGTTACAGGTCATCAGATGAATGTGATTTTGGCCAACAAAAGTCAACCAACTTCCAAGACATTTTTGACCTAGAAGGATGTTTCTACTTACTTTGACCCAAACATGAAAGCTTTTCCTTATGATCTTAGCATTCCAAAAAGCACTAGAAGTCCTTCATCTGATTTGTGAAGCTCAAGATATGAAGTTTGCAAGGCAAGGGTATTTTGGGAAACTTTGATTATAGGTCATTTTGGTTATAGGTCAATTTCACAACTTTGCACATCTCAAATGAAACTTTTTCCAACATCAAACTTGCTCCAAATAAGGTCAATTTCATCATAAAATCAACACTTATCATAGGATTGGATTGGATTGGAAGAATGATGAAGAAAATTCCATGAAAGAACACTTGAAAGGCCTAGTTAGGATCATGATCATTTTAAACCATATAATGGCATGTTTATGCATTTTTTAATTGCCTTGAATATGCTAAACATGATGCCAAAATCAGAAATCAAGTTTGAGGTCCAAAAACATGTTAAATTCAAGGTTTGTTCACCATGAAGGTACACATTCAATCCACACCATTAAGATCAAAGCAAGGGGTTAATTTGGTTCATTGAGCTACCTTACATCACAAGCAACATGTATGGATCATTTTTGAAGTTGTTTGGGCTCTGTTTTCGTGGAAATTATGCAAGCTTCAAGTGAAAAAAATTGGATTTCAATTGGACCAAAGCAGGCTTTGATTGGGCCTCAAACCAATTTGGATCCATTGAATATATTCTCAAGATTCTTCACAAGCTCTCGGGGGGGGGGGGGGGGATTTCCATAGAGAAATAAAAAAATTCAGTTGAAGAAATTGGAAGAGGAGGTGGAAATCGAATTCTGCAATCCAGCCAGTTTCAAGCCAAATTGAGATTGCCAAAAGCTCTAAGGAGGATCAAGGAACGATTCTGGGTGGTTTTGATTAAAGCTTCATCAAGAAATCAAGACCCGACGGAGGTGCTCCGTTGAGTAAGTCATCTCTCAAAAATTCTCTCTGTATAGGTAGCAATCAACTGCCATTGTTACATATTCATGATCCCCTAAGTTCCTAGAACGTTTCTGGATTAGTTTTAGGCTTGTTCATGATAATTCTTGAAACGACCTTGATTTTGTATGGATTCGGTTAGGGTTAATTATAGGGATAAAATGAAATTGGACATGGTATTCTTGATGTACATGACATGACGAGTTGAATGGTATAAAGAATTGTGAGTTTTGGTGAGTTTTTGAAACGACCATTGTAGCTTCCCAACAGAGAAGACGATCGGAGCCGCCATGCTCCGTCGTCTGTGAGTTTCTCTCCCCTGAGTGTTCAAACTCCAGATGCGTGCGTGTTAGTTTGATAACCCATGGATCAATTGACTCAATTCAAAACGTAGGGCCACGATTTCATCTGAGCATTAGTTGACAAATCTAAGTAAAACGGTGAGTTTCATTTAAGTGGAATTCTGAGTGGACATGGGCCCCAATTGTTATCTGAACCCCCCCTCAGTAAAGCCCAATGAATATCAACGCGTTTGGATTACTATTTGCACCAATGTTTTGTCCAATTGTAATTTCTTTTTCTTTTCTTTTTTCCATTTTATTTTGTTTGGTTTTAATTCATGAAAAATAATTCAATGGATCCAAAAATCATATAAAAAATACTTTCCCATACTTTAACATGTTAATTGATTTTACCATTTTTTAGATTAATTTTTAAGTCATTTTTTCAATTAATCTTGAATTTTCATTTTAAGGTGTTCTTTATGAATTGAAAAATGCACAACTTTTGATTGGGATTTTATTTCTTGATGAAACCTTCACATACATGCCTGATTTTTCTTGTACATATTCTTGATGCATCAATTGTTTTTTGGACATTTTTCTCCCTGATTTTTAGTACCATTTGGTTAGGTTTTTGGTTGAACCTTTAGGACCTTCCCTTTGTACTAGTTTTTAGGACATCCCTAGAACTTTCCCCTCTGTTTACCTAGTTAGGTTTAGGTTTTTTCCCCATAGTTTGGACCCCTGGTTCCCAACACCAGGGGGTCCTATAAGATTTTATTTGGTATTTTTTGGATTAGTTTACTATTTTTAGGGTATTTTACACTTTAGGTCACCCTTGTATGATTTTCACCTCTACACTTGTGCTAGTGTGAATCTTATTTGCATTTTGTGCATTGTTTGAGCATCCTATCTTTATGTATCCATGTTTTAGACATAATAAATCATTTGTATGTTCAATTTTAGGCCTTGATCATGTTCATAACTTGGTCAAGTTTAGGCATATCTTAGGAGTTCCA